GGTTATAATTCTCAGACACCCACACTGTCACAAATCCCCTACCAAGATGACAGACAAGTTATGGCATAGCTGCATGTGCGTTTGTGTGCCACACTGTCTCCGAGGGTGTCATCCCTCAGGCAGAAAGGTGACGTCGGTAGCAGCAGCCCAGCTGACATCTGTCAAAAGCTATCACAGGTTTTAAATGTTCGCTGAGACAGCAAACGTACCTGGGGGTCGGGGGTTAAATTATCATCCATTCTCCTGAGACAGTACCACCAAACAAAATAAAAGCAATTACGGTCAAGTGTGATTATGAGATGTGGGGGAGGGATCCGACACACGCGGAGAGGGAATCTGTTCGTGTTTTCTGAAGGTCACACACTTGTCCTGTCCCGGCTGGCGTCATCACATATCTCTGGCTTAGAGGAGGTGATAGAGGCCTTTAGAAAGACAGAGATACAGAGAGAAAAGAGAATCAGAGTACGACGGGGACAGGTGGAGAGCGACAGTGGACAGTCAGTTTGGATTAGGGTTACAGGGAGTATGATGAAAAAAGAATGAACTGATAGAAGTAAACTGAGATGGGAATAAACAGCTAAAAGGGAGGGAGGATGGGGAGACACAGAGGAACTATGATTCTTTTAAAGTGCAGATGATAGTATGTTGTTATATGCAGCTGTTGTTAATAAAACTGTATATGAGAAAGTGATGTTTATGCGTCTAAAAGACATAGTATGAAAACTGCCTGCAGATATACAGTAGTTCTGTATCAAGTATCTTTTCATCACTTTTCTTAAAGCCAATACAATATATATGGTTTAATCAAATGAGAGTTTGGCACAAAAATGCATGAAATTTTATCTGTCCAGGAGGAAGAAGGTCTCACTATGCCCAACTGAGATAAAGTTGGTTCATGTTGGTATTATTAACAGAATATGCTTGGAAATAGAAAATGAAATGTGCTTTGTTTTATAATGTCCATTTATATGATTACTTGAGAAAGGCCTTGAAACAATGAAAAAACTCAGTGAGACATATTTTTGCTTTGTCAGATATAATACCACCTTACACTCTAAAATGTTTAGAACAACATGAAGCCACTGAGGGATGAACAGTCAAATTTGGCATGGATTATTGTTTGTTTTTTGTTTATGATCATATTTACTCATGTTTTATTAATGCGCAATCGTGTATGTGCCTGTGTGCGTGTGTGTGTGTATGTTTGGTGTGCGTGTGTGTCCAAGTCTCGATGGACATCATCAATCAGTCACACAGCCAGCAGACCTACTGGCCAAGCTGACAGCTCCTTGCTGGAGGTTGAGGGCTGCAGTGAATAATGAACGGAAGTGTCATTTAGATGTTTGAAATTTTTAATATAATTTAAGAAGGGGTGTCTTTCTACTTCGGGAAGCTTGAAGCTTCGAAATACCAACAGTGACAGGTTTTTTTTGTTTTTTTTTTAGTAATCCTTCTTATTCAGTCTTTTCTGCTGAGGTGCTGAATTGTGCTGGCAATTGATCTTTACCTGTCTCTCCCATGGTCCCACTAAAACTGCAAATATTGAACTTTGTGTTTTAAGGAAAAACATGAAGCGTTACAGAAGAATTCTGCATTGTTTTGCTGTTACAGTGCCGTGTGTGACATATTAATTTGATGCTGGTTGGCATCGCTGTAGCTATGATCTGGGCGTACACACACACTCACACACACACACACACACACACACACACACACACGCACACACACACACACACACACACACACACACACACACACACACAGAGACACAGAGAAACACACACCCCTTGGTTTGGGAATCCCAGAGTTTGGTGCTATTAATATTCACAGTGCAGTTTGGCTCATGAGAGAGTTGCCAAGGACAGGGGACTAACCTTGGGTTTGCAGTGAGAGCCAGAGGGTGCATCTCAGTAGTTTGATGAGTTCCTGCCTCTCCTTCCCTCTTCACTTTCTCCTTTCCTGCTTCCCCAACCCTGAGTTTTTATCAATTACTTGCAGAAATCAACATTCATTGAGCTTTTGAATGTATGTGAGTAATCTGGTTACAAAGTGCTGGAGGTGCATGGGTAGACTAGGATTAAACAGCTTGATTTGAATTTTCTAATTTGCAAGCTACACACACCTGCACACTGACAAGTAGTTTTGTACGTTGAGTTATGAAACAAGACAAGCTTACTGTAAATTGCAAATATCAGCAGGGGTCGACATGTTCCAGAGAGAGGATTTGCAATGACTTATTGTTCAATAGGATCATAGGCTAACACTGTCAAACAATGAGAAAACAAAGTTGTTTTGTAAGTTCAGAAACCTGTCTCAAAATCTAACAATCAATAATGATCTCTTTATTGTGGATAGAGTAGGTAGTATTAAAAGACCCTTCTCCTATCCTTAATGTTTGCTGGTGTTGTAATTATGGATACTAACAACACCTCGCTAACATAACAACAGCAGACCTCTCTACTCAGCTGGCATCATGCCCGGTATCTGCTATTTCGTTCTGGATACAAGGTTGTCTCTGGGTCACTGTACAGCTATGATGTGTGTACGTCCACATCTAGGTTTTTCTAGACTCCCCACCCCACCACTAACCCCACAGTCACAGACTTCAACAACGACTCACCGATTCCCTTTGTTTTGGCTCTGACTCACTAAATCCCCTCTAACTCACTATGAATCGATCTCCCCACTTCCCCTATCCTTCATTCTTGCAGACACCTCCTCGCCTTTGTTTAGAATTCACCTCTCCTTGTCTCCTTTCATTTACTACACACAGAAATCCAATCACTATCCAATCGTCCGTATCTGTGAAATATTTTGTTGGTATTAGATGACAGAAAAAGCAGGCCTTGTGGTTATTGTGGGCCTCCGTCTGTTTATTGGCAGCATACAGGGTTCAAATGACGCTTAGCAGGGGGAACATCCAACTCCTCATGACCTTAACTCACCTGTTTTCCAGGGTGTTTTGATGCCTTTCTATCATACTTCACACTTAATATGTAAATGATCACAGATAAAACAACCATGTAGGCATCTGGTAATGAGACTAGCAGCCAGGGCACTATATATCAGGATGTGGCCATCCACCTGCTGCTCTCAAAGTTTCACCAAATATGCAAAACCAAGACATGCAACATTAGGCCTTCTTGTTGTTGTGTGATGGGTAAAAAGTGGCAACAATCAGAGATCTGACCAAACAGTTGGCCTAATGTACCGAGGCCAAAGCAATTTCTGTATGCTCCACAGTGTGTCATTAATGCTTGCAAACACAACAATTTTCAATCTGCCGACATGAAAGGCAAACGCACAACAACAAGGTAATTCTAAATGTCCTGTATAATAACACAATGGTGTAACAAATTGTACAAATGGGGATAAGAGCGCACACTTTTCGACAATGATGGTGTATCTCTCGGCAGCTCACACAAAGAAGTTACAGATGTTGTTTGTCTGTTGAGCTTGAAAGGCTGGTTCCGATCCCACAAGCACTTCATCTGAAGCGTATGAAGCCCTTAAAGCCTATTGTAACCAGCATAACTTCCACGGCTGACCTCTGTTCTAGTTAAAGATGAAACTACCAACTTTCAACAACAGCCTTTCAAGCCATATTTGATTGTAAGACCTTAACAACATGTTATCTATTACAGACAGCATCATCAACAACAACAACATCTTCCTGAACCAATCCATGTAACTGTCATGCTGTACTGTATGATCACATGATAGCAGGCAGGTCGAGGGCTACATGGCATCTCGATTTGCATGAAGGCACAATGGAACTGCTTCATGAGACAAATGCATGTTTGGATGGGGATTTCAGTGACTGGTGTAACGCTTAAGGCAGCTCCATCTTAAGCCGTGGTCTCTTGGACAACCTTTTAGTGACACGTGTTTAATTCAGATGCCTATTGATTCCTGAGAGATCATGATGGATCACTGAGCAGAGAGGTGGGAATCTAGCACCCAGCACACTTCAGTGAACGCCTTTCCTCCAGCAGGCAGCAAAGGGCATAACATCTTGATAAAAGAATAACTCCGCCACACAGTAACAGACGGACAAACATTACAACTGTTCATGCTCCAGATAAATGAATGAACGGTTGGATAGCAGGATGGAGAGCATTATTGATGCTATAATGTAGGAAAATATGGCCTCAAAGACAGATTGCTTGGCAGATTGTGACCAAGTGTCATACTGTAGTACGCGAGCAGGAGTGAGGCAAAGGGAGGCGAAGACACTGAGAGGGAGTGAAGAGAGGAGCAAAAGGGATAGACACAAGGCTTCCCAGAGCCACTGAGTATTTATAGATCAGATATAGTCGGAACCTCAGCAGCAGTGTACTCCTTGTTGCTCCTGCTGATGTCTCTGTACACATTCGACACGGCTCTGACTCAGTGGCGAACATTAGGAGAGGATGTGATGTTGATAATAATGGCAGAGACAGGCTGACGACCAAATCGCTGAGTGAGATTCTGCATGAATGGAATGGGATATGTTGCTGATAATAGGCTACTTTACAGTATGGTACGCAAAAATGTGAGTAGTTACTAAGGAACAAATCAGGAACGACTTGATGAGTCTTCGAGTAATTCCTGAATAACTCCAGGACTATAGTATCCTAGATAATGATGAGTTACTAGAGACCAGACTGGCTGATACACCAATAATGAATCATTAGGAAATGATTAGTTCATAAACATCTGTGAGTAAGCACTATCTTTTTGTAAAGTGTTACCATATTGTTTAATTCCACTGGGGAAAATGTTGGCAAACTCTCTATATACTATATTCTAAATCTATATTTTGACCATGCATACATTTGTTATGATCTGTAAGAAGTATCCAAACCAAAGTATTTAAAGGTTTTTGATTGTTTATATGTTATTCTATTTATATACGTTTTTCTCCTCTTCTCTATGTTTTTGTGTGTGTGTGTGTGTGTGTGTGTGTGTACTTAAATGTGTGCGTGCGCGCCTGCCAGCCCATGTGAGAGTGCCGACCAGAAGCGCGCTTGGTTCACTCGGCTCCTGGATGCCGAGAGCCCACACAGGAACAGATACGGGAAATAACTTACATGGCTGTATTTTTTTTAAATCAAGTATGATTTGTTAACGGCAGTATATTTGTAGCCATCCTCCGCGAAGGCGAACAACACAACCACTATTATTTTTCACAGACAGAATCGCCAACATATTTTCTCACAGTCCCACATTCCGGCGCAAACGGGGAAAATGAAGGCGAAAAACCGCGACCAAAGCTTGTCGGACTCCAGAGAGCTGGACGGATCCTATGACCAGCTAACGGGTGAGTGAACCGGCGTCTGAAACACCGGTGGGTGTTGTGTGATTGCCTGCAAAAAAAAAAAAGGTTCAATATGTAAAGCTGCTAATCTGCTAATGGTCCACCTAACTTCAGGTGACGCTGAAATGTCAGAACCTGCCCGCAATTCATCAAAGAACTGGGCATGAATAATCTTAATGTTTCGCACTATTTATCAGTTTTGTGCTCCACGCAAGTTTATATGCAAGTTTATTTAATCTTTGTCGTACTTTTCAGCTTCCATGGTAACAGCATTTTTCTGCTTTATTCCCGTAGTTGTCGTGTTACCACTTAAGTAATTATAACATTTAGAGTTTTTTTGGCTACAGGATAAAAAAGCGTGGGGGGCTACGAGTTGAAAAACATTATTTGATTGGGGAAAAACACACATATTGAATCTTTTAATGTCAGTGTTGCACGTCAATGTGGTTGCATAATGTGGTGCGTAATGTTGGTGAATGGTGTTTGGTTACTGTCAACACTTTTAAGACAACAGTATGATTTTTCTGCTGGCCTGGCGCAGCTATAGGAGACTAATAACACGGTTATTGTCGCTGTCTTGACTGCTGTGAAAAACGCTGCGGGGTCGATAACACCTGTTTGGCCGATCTAATGCCCAAACTGGAGCTCGACCGGATCCCTGTGCTTTGGCGTGTTATCACTTTAGACAGAAATCGCTCATATCGCTTTGAGCTTTATCTGCCGAGTAAAGGCGCTGGTATTCTCTGCAAGCACGGCAGACATCTGAGCGACACTTACTGCCATGTGGATTTTCAAACGGGGTATGGCTGTGCGTATTTTGGCTGAGTGTCTGATCTGTGGCTTGAATAAAAAACATGGTCCTCTCTTGTGCTTTATTTTTCTCGGCGTGTGTAATTGGGGTGAGCGATGTGCTTCCTCTTTATAAGTAGCCTATATGAGACTCACATCAGTTTATAGCGATATAACCAATCGGTTCATTGAGTGGCAGCGAACATGCCTGCACATACCTGTGCTCTGAATGGGCTCCCTTGTAAGCTGAGCACTATCTTGAGGTGTTCCTTCCATTGTCACATTATAGCTCACAGCTCTCCCCGCTCATGTGAGCCAGTTAAATGCCAGCTGCCTAAATGAAATGCTTGCTTTTTGTGCTTGAACGCATCTGGGGCCTGCACAGGGAAACAGACAGCTGTGTGCCTGGGGCTCAACCACTGTAATCTCTTTTGCAATAGTCCACGCATTGGCAGTTAAGCAGTGCTTTGTCACAAATTGAAAGCATCCTAAATAAAGAAAAGAATGCATGGTGATGAGTGAAACAGTGTGATCTGATGTTTGTGTGTGTGCAACAGGCTTGCAGTGTATGGATATCTTCTGATGGGTCTATCTGTGCCTATTCTTATGTGTATCAAAGTGTGTGTGTGTGTGTGTAGTGAAAGTAAAAAAAAGGATTTGTTCTACTGAATTCAAATGCATCCATCAGGCTTTACAACTCAACACAGGTATTGTAAACCATGTCAACCAACCCACACAGTATGCTGACCGTCATGCTTGGACCAACACTGAGCCCTGCAGAGACTACACAATAAACTTCAGCAGCTTGACAGTCTTTTCTCCTGGCTGGTCTACTCTGAGTGTCTTTGTTTTGTAACTTTACCTTTGGCTCTGTAATTAGTTGCAAATTAGTATGCATCACATACATAATAATGAGATGGATTATAGATGATTAGTAGCCTAAATGTGACTGTGGAGGAGATAAAACTTTCCGTAATGTGAATCTAAACTCTTCAGAAGAATCAGACTTTTCTTGACTCCATCTCCCCTCTTTTCCATCCAGCTTGTTGCAATGGTCCCCTGTGTCTGACTGTCCACATAAAGTCATATTGGTTTTTAAATAGTTGAGCGAGGGGAGAGAATGAGGGACCAAGTCATCCAGTGTGGCGGAGCAATTTACTCATGACTCAAGTTTTTAATGACTTTTTCAAAGCTGTGAATTGCGTGGTTAATTCTTCTTTGTAAGACGCAGTCAACTTTAAAACATGCTTAGCCCTGATAGTTTGCATGGTTATTAAGGCTGGCGTTTGCTAATAAGAATCAGTGTAATGAAGATGTGATGCAGCTAAAGCTGTGGACAAATATTGCCAGCCTTTTGTTTATGGCATTTTTCATGTTATAGAATCAGCCGACCGCAAAGTGGCCCAGTGTATACTGTGTTTGCAAGCGTGTGTGTGTGTGTGTGTGACAGAGAGAGAGCAGGTGACAGGTGATATTCTGCCTAATCCCGACTAAAATTAAAAAGTATATAGTGTGATATGAGGGCACGACTTGTGAGAATGGATTCTTAAGTGGGTTTTTTTTGAGTAGGAAGGACAGCTACAAGTGAGTCATTTTTCTTACTAACAAGCAACTTGTGTGTGCGAGTGAGCGAGATGAGAGAGAGAGAGAGAGAGAGAGAGTGTGTGTGTTCCTTAAAGCTGACCTGTGTTGCTGAAAGTTAGTGTGGGTGGTCTCCAATCACCATGTGAGTGAAATGTAACCCTCTAGAAATATCTCCCTCTCAGCTTGCTACATTGTACTGAAATGCGCTCCACCGTGTGTGTATGTGTTGGAGTGTGTGGTAGCCTGCATGGCATTCCCTGTTGTGTTTAAGAGCACCGAGTGAGAGATGAGAGGTAATTATAGAAGCGTGGTGCAGTAATCTCCTCTTCCACCTCACGAGCCACACTCAATAGGAATCATATCAAATACACACACACACACACACACACACACACACACACACACACATACACAAGGGCTTCCACATATGCATTTGCAGCTATTATCTCAACCTTGTCATGCTTCCTTTTCCTCGCTCCAAGTCCAGAATATTATCTAAAGGCTAAATCAGTAGTGGTTGGCAGCCAGTCTGCCAGTCATCTATTTGCTCTGTCTGATACCAATAGTGTGCATCTATGGTGTGTTCTTTTTTACCTTCATGCTCAGATTATCTGTCAAATCCAAACATACCAAATCCTTTTATTTTGTCGTTTTTATCACTGGTCAATGATTTAATCATACATGTCATAATGGAGCATAAAGGGACCAAAACTTTTGTGAGAAAAGCAAAAAAGCAAAAACTCCAAAAATGTCGTGGTTCCAGCTTCTCAAATAAGATTATTTGGTGGTTTATATAGTCTTCTGTCCTGGTAAATTGAATATATTTGGGGTTTGGACTGTAGGGTGGATAAAACAAGACATTTGTAGGGGTCACCTCTATGACAGCGTATTAGGGCCATTGTATTAAAAAATATATATATTACAGAGAAGGGGGTAATATTGTGAGAAACAACTCAGAAGATTAAAGTCGGAAATTTAGGGGGAAAAAACTTGGATATATATATTGGTAAGACAGTAATAAATTTGCAAGAAAAAACTCAGAACAGAAATTCTCTGAGATTAAAGTTGAGCTCAATATATGAGAAATAAAAACAGAAAATATAATTTTTCAGGCGTGCTTGTGTTAAAGGCTCCGTAAAGCAGAGTATGCAGATGTCAATTACAAAAGCTGTCACATCTAAGCCAATTTAACCAACCAGTATTATGAGACACATTTCTAAATGATCTTTCATGTGGCTTTGTGGCCGTCCTGGATGTATGTCTGCTCCACCTCTTCTCTTATGTCTGCACTGACTGACTGAAAATTACTTGGAAAACCCTATTTTCCCAAGTTTGTTTTCTCATAAATTTTGGTTTAGACTTTTTGTCTTGTAAATTTACAAATTTTTTTGCTGAATATTACCCCCGTCCCTCCGAAATATATATATATATTTTTTTTAGGGCTGTGCACGTTAACACATTATTATCACGGTATTAACTAATTAACACAGACAATTATCTCATCGCACGTTAACGCAATTTTTATTATTATTATTATTTTGAAAGTCCATTTCTCAATGGCTCTGAATACACATACAGTCAAACCATGGGTCACAGGAGGGGTGGGATGTTGATCAGTCCGCAAATCAAGCACCCAAACAAGCAGCGGAGGGAGGCTTCGGCAGATAACGTTGGATGCAGCATTTGGGAGAAGTAGATAAAGAAAAGCAATTAAATGCCATAAGTGGATAGCTACGCACTGTGTGCTGATTAGTATTGGGGAAGATGTCTGTAGTGGCAACTTTTAGAACTTCTTTTGCCACTATCGCAGGACATAAAGTTTCTGACTCGTGTTTTCCAAAGAGGGCAAGACTGTACAATCCAGCGAGGCAAGGAGGCAGACGTAAGAAGAAAAATATCCGACGTTTTATATGACACAGAAAAAAGGACTAAAGTTACAAAATAAACGTCTCCAGCAGAGTCCTAAATCCTATGTGTTCTATCAAACGTACTTACACACAGGTAACTTCTAAATTTCCAATTGCTATGACGCGACGGTCAGAAAACTGCTACACAGCTGTAACCTATTTAAAATGATAAGCTAATGTTACATAACTTTACATGATAGGCCTTCTTCTAGTTTTGCGGGGATGCTCTGCCATGCAAATTCCCTCCTGTTGATGTCCTATTTAGTAAACAGTAATAAATGAACTCACAAACAGCGAGGATCAGTCTCTCTTCCAATAATTTGTGCTACACGTCACGCACAAAAAGTCAGACAATTCAACTTTGGCGGCGGGTGTGTGCGAGCATTTCACCTCACTCTAACAGGGGCACTTGCTGAACATAGACTGTTTATGCTGCTCTCTGATAAAAGAAAAATGTTTATGCTGATTCCTGTTCAGACAAAAAACAAGAAAACAGATTTATATATGTTAACTTGTTACTCAGAAGGTGCCTGTTATGATGTTATGATTGTGGCTCTGGACTCTTGACTTGTTATAAAAGGTAATGCCCTGGCCGTAGCAAGTAGCTTTGGTTTTATATTCGGTTTGATTACATTAATGTTTAAGCTGAGATTTACAAGAAATATTTTATTGCTACTGTATAAAGGGAATACTGCTGGTAAAAAGCACCTTATTTGTTTAAAG